CCACCCCGGAGGTGCTGCTATTGCGGAGAAAAGGCCTGGGCCACCCTGCAGCTCAGGATCCGCTGGCAGTTCACCCCCCTGGCTGCAGGATATGTAGGCAGACTCCATTGGGGGTGGGGGGGAGAAAGGATCTGGCCCCTCACTGCTTGCTTTACTTTCTCTCAGTAGAGCCTGCCCACATGAGTTGCTGCTGGGCAGTGCAGCCCCTGAGCTGCAGGAGGGCATGGTCCTTCCCTCTGCTGTGGTGGTGCCCCCTCACAGAACCACCCAGGCAGGTTGCTAGCTGCATGGGTGCTGCCCCAGCTCACAGGCAGCACCTGCTGGATCCAATTCTTCCCTGAGCTCATGCAAAGAACAGCACCCGGCAGGCTTCCAGCGCACAGGCTCGGGGAAGAGTTGGATCCGGCGCACGCTGCCTGAGAGCTGAGGCAGCATCCACGCAGCTAGCACCGAGAGCTGAGGCAGCATCCACGCAGCTAGCACCGAGAGCTGAGGCAGCATCCACGCTAGCACCCCGCCGTGGTGGAGGAAAGGACCAGGCACCCCTGCAGCTCAAGGGCTGCACGACCTGGTAGCAGCTCATGTGGGCAGGCTCCACTGAGAGAAAAAAAAGAAATGATGAGGGACCTGATCCTTTTTTTTTCCCCCCCCCTTTCCCCTGTGGAGCCAGCCTGCATCTCCCGCAGCTGAGGGTGGGCCCTGAGCTGCCACAGCAGTGGCACCTCCCAGGGCCATCCAAGCAGGCAGCTAGCGGGTGGGTGCTGCCCCAGCTTGCAGGCAGCACCCAACTTGATCAAAATGTTCCCTAAGGCCAAGGGAAGCTGGGGCAGCACCCGCCCGCTACCAGCCCACCTTGGCGGCCTCAGGGGGCACCGTGGAAAGAAGGACTGGGGCCCTCTCCAGCTCAGGGGCCGCTCAGCCCACCGGCAGCTTGTGCCCCAGCAACAGAGATGTGGGCAGAATCTACAAAAAAAAGGATCGGGCCCTTCACCACTTTGGCCTTCAGCCCACCTCTCCCGTGGTGGGGGGAATTTAGTTGCAAACTAAACTACACGAGGATGTGGTTTAGTTTGCAACATAGCAAACGTATTTAAATAATAAACCTCTCCCACCCCTCATTTCTGTCACGTGTACATGCGCCCCAGGAGACCAGTTCTTCTAATTCTGTGATGTGCATTAATACATTTAAGTTCATCGCTTATATTCCTATAGCATTAGATATTGCCAATTTCCACGCATACTGTTATAGTGCCACTGTCAGAATAATACTGTTTCATGTATTTCCTTTAAAGACCCTTTCCACTAGATCAGTGGTGCTCAACCTTTTGGTGCCATGGGCCAAATGAGTGGTCTAGGGCCGCTCTGCAGGCCAGAATATCACCCCATGCTACCTCTCTCAGGCCCATGCTGCTGGATCAAGCCCTGCCTCTAGCAGGCTGTGTGCGCCCAGATCAGGTCTGGGACACCTTCACATACCAATTTAGTGCTCTGTCAGGCTCATGGGGCTCCCTATGGATCTGGAAATATGGCAACAGGGGAGTGTCAGTTGCTGCCACCACTCCCCTACTGCCAAAGTTTCAGACCCATGGATACCCCCCTGGGCCAGATGGCATGGCTCCATGGGCTGGATCTGGCCTGAGGGACAGCAGTTGAGCACTCTGCACTAGACTCATTTTGAGTATTCAGTCTTGCAGTGCACTGAAATCCTATGTAGTTTATCATATATTTTATTAAAAAATAAAGTAAATTACTTGAATTAGTTCAGCCATTTTTTATTTAAGTAAGACATATTTCTAATTTATATTAATAAACTGCAGGGTTTGTTTTTGCATTAACATCTGATCCAAAAATCAGTACCTCAAAATTATAAACTAGTACTTTCCATGGTAAATTTGACTGCTTCAGTATTTGCTGTTGCTCAAGGCTGGAAGTTATTTCCTATAAATTCACTTTCTGTGCTCCAGCAACACATCAAAACTTCATGGAATATATCTGCAAAGATTTTAAGGCCAGAAAGAACTAATAAATCATCTAGTCTAACCTCTGGTATAAAAGAGGCCACTTAGTTGTATCCACTTCTCCTTGTATTTATGTTTGATTAAGCATAACTTGTGGTCACCTAAAAGGAATCTTCCAGAAATATATTCAGTCTTGATCTGAAAGCATCAAGATTTGGAAAGTTACTGCTTCCCTTGACAGTTTGTTCCCTTGGTCAGTCAACTCGTTAGAGCTGAAAAAAATTCCCATTTGAACTCACATGCCTTAAGCATCTAACCATTGCTGCTCAAACTCCTTAGCAGCAAGGATTTTCTCCCTAAACACTGTACATCAAATCCCCTCTCATCCTTTTTTTATTTAAATAAATGAACTCGTTGAGTTGTTTCTCACTCTAAGTGTAAAAAAAATGTTGTCACCATGATAGGCCAGAAAGTATATGAGAAGGTGGGAGTTTTTTTAGGGTGTACCAACTAATAGTTAGGATAAATTTAGACAATCTATTGAATGTAAGACATTCTTTGTCTGGTTATGGTACTTTCTGACGTTCCCGAAATAATTTCTGGGCTCTTTTCTGTACTCTAATTATTCTATATTTTCTGTACACTCTCCAATTAATTTTAAAACATAAACAGTAGAACTCAGATGGACTAGTCCACCACTTTATATTCAATATTTATTTATACCTTTGTATGTCATAAAATAGAAAATGCAAGAACCTAAAAAATGTTATTGAGGGTGTTTAAACTTTTAGTATTAGCTTCTGTACCCTTATTTCTACTGCTATAACACTACTTTATAGTGTCACAGCATCTCTCAGTGAATCACAACAAATCCCCATGTTAAGAACTCTACTAGTAGCAAGAATATTCTAGGAGCACGTAAGGCAAGATGATGCATACTATTGTAGCTCAGTATGAGTAGACACTGCACTTAAATTACAAACTCACACAATAATATATTCCTTGCTGTCTCAAACTAGCAAAACTAATTTCAAAGCAAGTTCAACTTCAATTAGTTAAACTCACAAACACAGAAAACAGAGTTGGCTAACAATGCTGCTGGCCAGAATGGACCATTATGATCATCTAGTCTGACCTTCTACAGTCCATAGAATCTTACTCAGCAATTTTTTCACAAGCTCAGATGTGTTGAGCTAGAGCATATATCTTTTAGAAGATATCAATCTTAATTTAAAGATGTTAAGTGACAAATATTACCAATTCCAAGGATCCTGAGTTAGGCATAAAAAAGTCTTGAAAATTATTTTAAAATACTCTGCAGATTTTTCACTGAATAAATTAATCAACAATTATTAACTGACCAGCTCTGTAGTGCACAAAAGCTACACATTTCAGATGTTTTACCTCAACGAAGTACAAAATAGAATCATAGAAAAGTAGGGCTGGAATGGATCTCAGGAGATCATCTCGTTCACTCACTGCTCAAGGTAGAATCATCCCTGACTAAACCATCTCAGTAAAGTGTTTTTCTAACCTCCTCCGAAAAACTTTCAAGGATGGAGATTCCATGACATCGCAGGGTAGTATGTTTCAATGTTCAACCACCCTCTAAGTGAGAAAGTTCTTCCTAATATCCAACCTAAATTTGTCTTGCTGCAGTTTAAAACCACTGTTCTGTTTCCTGTAGCCACAGAGAATAGTGTATCTCCATCTCCTTTATAACCATCCTTCAGATATTTGAAGACCAGTATCAAATCTCCCCTCAGTCTTATCTTCTTCAAACTAAATAATCCCAGTTCTTTCAGCCTTCCCTCATAAGTCATGATTCCCAGACATCTAAATTATTTTTGTAGCTCTCCTGATTCTTTCAAATTTGTCCACATCTTTCTTGAAGTGTGGTGCCCATATCTGGACAGAGTACTCCAACTGAGGCCTCACCAGTACTCAAAGAGGGGAAGAATAATTTCCCTTGACTTGCAAATGACTATTCCCTTGACTATTTTACAGCTCACTGTATTACTGGTTTACACTTCCTTGTTTCTAACTGCAGCAGCAATCAAGAGAAAGCAAGAGTATACATGCAGCAATACACAGAATGTTAATAGTTCCCTCATTTTTCTTTTTCACTCTTCCTGGCACCTCCTGTAAAGCTGACTAATTTTTGTTATGAAGACTTTCTAATTCTGGGAATTCCACTGCAAGGAATCAGTGCACATCTTGCAAAAATGCATAGCTGTCTTCCAGCTATTACATTTTGTTTTTACACACACTTATATTTTCAGGATAATATTTATGCATTCTAAATTTTAAGAGACTGCTTCAATCTGTCATAGTAGCATATGAATAATAACCCATTTAGGGTACTAGGAGTCAACAAACCAAAGTGTAGGAAAGCGGCCTGATTACAAAGCATTTGGACATTTGGAAAAATTAAAGGAAAAAAACACACAAAAGAAAAAGAAAAAGAAAAAAAAAATCACTTTTCATACTGGAAAGCTAGACAAGCTTGAGTGTCATAACCCCTCTTACTTGTACTGCTGATGGTCCTTTGTGCTTCTTGTTTTGGCCATGAATCTTTCTGCTAATTTTTCTAGATTTCGGGAATACTCCGTCTCTATTTCTGCTTTTTTGCGGAAGAAATCCTGCAAGTCCTGAAGAAGCTGTACCCTCATTTCAGTTTGCTGCTCCAGACATTTTTGCTGGTCTATCAGTTGAGCTCGAATTTCTAAAGAAAATGTGCATAACTAAAGTCAGTAAAAGCAGGAAAAAAGCACTAGAAATAATGTTTACTGAACATTTTGCATCAAGCCCAAAAATATAAGGAAAAATTTAAATTAAAGTTATGTATACCACTTTTGATATAATGCAAGTAATTTAGCAATAGGATCAGACATTTAGTATTTTCAACAAAGGAGTAAATCACAACGCATCAGTGGGATTCCACAATTACTCCCTATTCTTGAGAGAGAGAGAGAAACTGAGGTATCATGGATGTGTTAGCTGCTTGCAGATACTGAATTTGTAGTAGCAACCACTCTAGTACAAAACATGTGTTTCTGTAAATCAAAATATATCACAGATGTGCACACGCTCTTTGTCATTATACTATACTTACTCATTGCAAAACAAACCAATCAATTAAAAAACCTAACACCTCTTAATTACATTTATCCAGAAATGCACATTTTTAACCACTCTTCTTTTTGTTCATTGGCTGAAGCACAATTAGCACCTGGTACTTTTACACTGTGCTAATGTTTCCGCAGTGTTATGTACATCTTTCTTAAATTTTGGATAACTATACTAAAAACATCGATGTGTTTCTTTAACTGGAAAAATCCCTAGATTTTCATTTCAACGATTTTCAATTATCATCATTTCATCATTACCATTCATATTATTTTTGTCACTTATTCATTTAAATTTCAAAACAGAGTAATAAACAAGCCACTGTGGCACAGTGCAATGGGAACCACATTTCATTTACTCTGAAAAGTAGTTATATAACAGGGACTTTTTTGATAGCAGAGATGATAGGCCTGAGTGAAGTCCTACTTAAGTCAAGGGCAAGGATCTTACAGACTTTAAAGAGATACTATTTTATCTTTGAGACACTCATGGAACTGATGGGCAGGATCGCCTAGGAGGCCAGTCTGAGGCGGGGGGAGAGGAGTCTAGGATAGCTGGCTGTACTTTAAAAAAAACTTATTGAGGGTGTAGGAATGAATCATCCAACATGCAGGAAGACTAGTAAGTATGGCAGAATACCAGCTTGGCTTAGCAGATAACTCTTCAGTGAACTAAAACACAAAAATTAAGCTTACAAGAAGTGGAAACTTGAACAAACTAGGGAGAAGTAAAAGGAGTATTGCTCAGGCATGCAGGGATGAAATCAGGAAGGCCAAAGTGCATTTGGAGTTGCAGCTAGCAAGGGATGTGAAGAGGAAGAAGGGTTTCTACAAGTATGTCAGCAACAAAAGGAAGATCAGGGAAAGTGTAGGTTCTTTACTAAAGGGGAGGAGGCAAACTAGTGACAGATGGTGCAATAAAGGCTAAAGTACTCAATGCCTTTTTAATCTCAGTCTTCACAGGTACGGTTTGGAGACAAGGTGAGTAGCCAACAGTGGCAAAGGAACAGGTTAGGGACTATGTAGAAAAGCTGGATGTGTACAAGTCCATGGGGCTGGGCGTGATGCACCCTCAGGTGCTGAGGGAGTTGGCCAATGTGACTGTAGAGCTACTGGACATCATCTTTGAAAACTCATGGTGACTGGGAGAGGTCCTGAATGATTGGAAAATGGCAAATATAGTGCCCATCTTTAAGTAAGGGAAGAAGGAGGATCCAGGGAACTACAGACTGGTCAGCCTCACCTCAGTCCCTAGAAAAATAATGGAGCAAGTCCTCAAGGAATCCATTAATAAATACCTGGAGAACAAGAAGTTGATTAGGATCAGTCAGCATTGATTCACCAAGGGCAAGTCATAGCTAAACTCAGTCCCTGGAATAGTCATGGATCAGGTCCTCAAACAAACCATTTCTAAGCACTTGGAAAAGGGGAAGGTGATTAGAATTAGTCAGCCTGGATTCACCAAGGTCAAGACATGCCTGACCAACCTGAATGCCTTCTATGATGAGATGACTGGCTCTGTGGATGCGGAAAGAGCAGTGGTTATGATATACTTTGACTTTAAGCAAGACTTTGGATATAGTATCCCACAACATTCTTGCAAGCAAGTTAAGGAAGTATGGGTTGGATAAGTGGACCATAAAGTGGATAAAAAACTGGCTGGATTGGGCTCAAAGGGTAGTAACCATTGGCTCAATGTTTAGTTGGTAGTTGGTATCAAGCAGAGTGCTCCAGGGGCCAGTCCTGGTGCTGATTTTGTTTAATGTCTTCATCAGTGTCCCAGGGGAGCGGGGGCACTGGGAGACCCCTGCGGCGGCCAAGGGGTCTGCTTACCTCCCGCAGGGCCGGAGGAGCT